GACGACGTCTTATCAATGTCTCTCATAGTATGAGGTAGGCTATATAGTTCCAATGGTCTTGCCTAAGGACCCACACTGCATAGCTCAATTTTACTGTTGTAGCTGTTTGCCCCAGCCCGGGTCTCCCGGGTGGAAGACTGGTGACTTACCCACTGAGCTATGCTACCAGCCTAATGCTCTAAGTATGTTTTAAATAAACTGAGCCTGGATGACATTGAACCCAGAGCAACAGTAAGGCCCAGAACCACACACTAACACACCTAATGTCAATTAGAGACTAGTAAACCTGACATGCATGTTTTTGGACTTTGGGAGGAAGCCCAGCAAGAACAGGCATACTCAAATCCCTGGGTGGGATTCGAACCGCTGACCTTTTTGCAGCCAGGCAACATGACTTACAACTTCTCCACCACGCAGCCCTCAGTTGACATTATGTCCCACCAATCTAGTGTCTCTCCAGGGGGGAAAAAAATATCATTAACCTGGTAATTTACTGCCATAACAGAACCAAATTAGTTCTGTATAACCCATCTATCAAGCCATGAGCGAGACTGTTCAGAAGATTTAAACTGCGTAATCATAATTACACAGATGCTTTATGCAGGGGGAATTTTACTGTGCAACCATTAAGCAGTCCATCGACTTCTCGTGATATATTTCTTTTATTTATTTTTTTTTTACCGCACAGGACCGACTGCTGTGGAAATGATGCATTAGTGAGCGGATCAGACAGACAACCGTGACGCATGTCAAGCTTTTTTTTTATTACAATCCAATCATCGCCCTGTCTGCGTTTCATACACAAATCACTGTTTTAACATGGCACAAGCAAATACTGCTCATAGGTTTTTATGCCGAAAGGGCTGAAATATAAATAACTGTATTCATACAACAGAAGAAAAAAAATAAAAAAATAATAATACTGCAAGATTGTTCATTTTATGGCAACGCTCGTGTCTGTAATCATTCATAGCCACGGTTTTATGTACAATCACATACATAGGTACAATAAATACTTGCATATTAAAAAAACAAAAATTATACATATAAAGGCATTTTACAAAAGTAAAAGAAATGATACGTGTTGTGTTACCTGGTAAACAAGAGTTAAATGTAAGAAGAAACTAACAAAAGAAAAGAGGCCACACTTAAATAAAATAATCCCTTCATTATGACACCTGAGAACCTGATTGGACGACGTTCTGACGATCAGAAGTGCATTTGTCAGTCATGACCTTCAGTAAGACACAGCCTGCTTTCGTCCCCGTGTCTTTAAATACTTGCCGAGTCGTAGATTAAGACTAGTGAATTTCCTTTGGCTGAAGGCTGCGCACGTAAGGCACCGAAATAGCACCACACACACACACACACACACACACACACACACACACACACACACACACACACACACACACACACACACACACACACACAAAACGGCTCACAACAGTAACAAAATGGCTTTTTATTTTATGTATAATCCATGCATTTCCTTCTGGACTTTCTATTTTTTATTTTTATTTTTTTAGCAGATCAGGTCATAGAGTGTAACAGTGGCCAGAGAGGAACAAAAATAAAAAAAAATTAAAAAAACTGCGCAAAGTATAAAGTACCCTGTTTTCTTTAAATAAAACGACAAAGCAGAAGGCCAGAAGACGATGTGCAGTTTGGATATAGAAAAGAACGTGAGGTACACGACGCACGAGCAGCACTTTGGACAGACTCACTGCGAATTTAGCAGACTGACTTGTCTCTGGGGTCAAACAACCCCAACATCTTCATTACATCTCCAGAGTTTCTGAGGAATCTTATTTGGCTTGAGGTGAAGTCTTTTTCCTCTTATTCTACCAAGAAAATAGAGAGAAGATGCCCAACTGTTGGGTAAATGAAAACACTAAAGGCTAACAGCTCTTTTCTGGTTACTGCATGCTGGACCAGGGGACTTTATCTTCCTTGATGTGTGGCATCATGAACTCTGTTTTATCAGAATCCTGTCATGTGTCCATTTACACAGCTGAACAGAATTACAAAGCCCTGCAAAAGCATTCAGACCCTTGAACTCTACCGAATTATAACCACAACCTTAAAAGTAGCATTCAGCTCCTTTTTTATTTTGATGCCGCTAAATAAAATAATACAGGTCATCTGGAGTTCAGGTTGTGGCCAATTATGGAGAAGATATAAAGCTAACACCCTGAAAGCACCACCCCAGGGTGACACATGGTGGTGGCGGCATCATGCTGTGGAAAAGGCTTTTCTGTATGCACTGGTACATGTCATATATTTTTTACCACCCGTGTAACTTTGTCCCTCAGACGTCGACAATCTGTAGACGCCAAACTGCCAGAGCTCCGCAGCTGCACAGCAGAGACATTTCTACAGCACCTGACCCCGTTGATTTCCACTTGCTTAAAGAACCTCCAACCTCCTCCTCTCTCCAGCCCGAGCGAACGAAAGCCAGAGTTAGCAGCGAGGGAAGGATTCCCACGCTGTCCAGTTGGCTTCAGACAACCGGTTTCAGATCGGATCAGCCTCAAGCGCAGCAGATCCGAGGAAAATTGAGCGGGATCGGGCATGTAAGGGAGAGGAATTTAAACGCGGAGGTCGCGAAGGAGTTCAGTGGCTCAGTAAGTGGAAGCAGAAGCGCACAGAGTCAGATCGACTTACTGCAGGACAACCTCTTAAAGGTCCGGCAGCTGACAGCCGCTACATAATGCTTGTACGTATAAATGCTGCTGCTGCTTGAGGAGTAATTGGTTTGTCAAAAGAAAACTGCATGAAAACATTTGGTTTGGCAACAATCACAACTCGATTACTGGACTTACTGGAGAGAAAACAAACACACACACTCACTCACACACACACACACACACACACACACACACACACATATGGCTGCACTGCATAGTAACTTCAAAGTTAAACATTAGTGATAAAATGTGGAAGGAAAATCTGACATAAACTGCATTAATACTAGCATATTTAGCGCAAGCTTTTGACAACAAAACCTTTAAATTATTTTACAATACAAAAATAAATGGCAAGTAGAATAAATAAGAGATTTGATCGGTCTATTTACAGTACTTACAGTGGAATAATTTACACTATACACAGACACAATGAGTCAAAGAGGTGATGGATGAGTTTGAGCTCCAAGTTGGCAATAGCACCATTGATGAGGAGGGAAATTGAGCACCAGAAGAAGAATGCACAGCGCTGCAAGTAAATAAAAGCAAAGCACACAAATGCGATTAACATCCAGCCGTTTTAAGAACTGTCCAAGAAAACATGTGTTAGATGAGCAAAAGAAATTGCTGCCAGCATCTATTTTGTAACCAGAAACATAATACTGATATATTTGTTTTATCTTCTGTAATAACTGAAAATCCACCTGTTTTGTTGCTGCATATCTATTCAACTGTGACAGGCAGAGCGTCACCAGAGGACGGCGTACATTTTCCACAGTAGCCTCCGCAGAACCCCGTTACTCTGCTGCCATCCTGTGGACACAGAAATAATGACATGAGCTGACACTCGAGTAATTTTTCAAAACAAATCAGTGGGGCTATAAGAATATATTACATAGATATTTTTTAAAGGCATAGTGATATATTTCTTAATCATTTTGGCCAGTTTTAAGTATTATGGCTCACAGCTAATGAACACCCAACATTCAGTTTCTTAGAAAATTTCAACATTAAATGAGAAAAAAGGGGTTTTAAAACAGAAATGTGGGCATACTTAAGATTATTTGTCTTTAGTATTTGGCAAGTGATGTAGATACAAAAATTAAAAAAGTAAATCAACTAAAAAAAAAAAAAAAAATCAACCAGAGGTTTATGAGCTGATATGAAGGTGAATCTAAGCAAATCGAATACGGTTACGTTTGGCATGTGATGGATGTGTGTGTGTGTGTGTGTGCGTGTGTGATGAGGTACCTGTGATTTCTGGATACGAGTCACCGCGTAGTTTCCCTGGGAGATCCAGGTGATTTCCTCAGCCACCTTGAAACCTGTTCCTGACAAGTTGATTCTGAACCGTCCCTAAAGCAAGACAGCAACATAAAGAGTGGATACAGGGCAAAATGAAAGAATGATGCAGTAATTTGAAACAATTATGAGAAAAATATGCATTTTGAGACATAAAATAATGAGACGCATCGAACATAAACAACAGAGACACAGAAAAGAACTGGTGGAGGGCCAACAGTTTTCCAAACAAATCCAAACAACATTTTAGCATGTAGTCAAAAAAAAAAAAAACGTTCTGTGAAAGTAAACATAACCATGCACGAAATTAAAGGCTTCAAAAACATACTGGCTTATTTTTTCACAGACATGCTTTAATATGTTGCAGCATATTAACATATTAATATGCTTGTTCTTAACATAGCTTTAAGAACAGGTACGTTCTTATAGTTTCAACTGAAGGCTAAAGTTTTGATTCTTTCCTATATCTTTGCTTATTTTTACAGTGAAACCTAGTGGCGGTTTTTGACATTGGCCAAACGGGAAGTTGCCCAGGGCGGCATCAGACTACAGGGTAGAGTGGCACAAGAATTACATCAATAAAAACAATTTATTTAATCGCAGTCTAACAAATTAACCACAGAGTACCAGGCTGAATAAGCAAAGTTTTCTGTGGCATCCTCTTCCCTCTCACCATGAGTGGTTGAGTGGTGCCTCGAGCTACGTTCAACCAGGACATTTCATGAAGGGGAGAAAGTAGCAGTGGGACGGGCCATGCCCAGGGCGCCATACATGCAAGAACCACTACTGGCAAAACCTGATGTTTGACATGTTTTTCCACACTGTTTTGTTGCTGTGCTGCTTGTGTGATATCATCTGGTCTAACAGACTCTTCCTCCATCTCTTGACATTGCGTATCGTGCCCGGCGGGAGAGATGTTTACATGCAGGCGAGGCTGAGCGAAGCTTTCAACAGCCAAGGAAAAATGTCAAGAGTAAGGCAACAGAGACGAATTGAAGGAGATGCTACAGACGCAGGGCAGGAGCAACGGGTAGAAAATGCGAGAGGGCCGTCTGTTGCTTTGTGATTTGTTTGTTTTCCTGTTGAAATATTGGAGGTTTCATCTAAGCACAAAAGCCTCAGTCCCCTGCCTCATCTCACAAAAGGATGAAGTCTCCTTGGTTCAGGAGGTGTGAGTTAAAGTATCCCTCGCTGTCTTTATGTTGCTTTGAATAAAAGCTCCTGCTGAATGTAAAAGTCATGTCAAAAAGAGAAAGGAAGCATAAATCCTCGGCTCCCTTGACTCCTTCAACATAAACAGGAGCGTAGAAATAATTTACAAACTCCAGCTACAGAAGCATGCAGCTTTAATACAATGGGTCCATTTAGCACTTCCCGCTGTTTTTTGCCGTTGAAGACTTGTTCTGCATAAACGTAAGAACAAAATGCCTCAGGGTAGAGATTATTGTTTGCAGATGGTGCTCACCTGTGGACAGTCGGCCAGACTGTAGCAGTCTCCAGCTGTGGCAAACGGGACAGGACTCTTGCCGTCACGAGTGAAAGCAAACCGCCAATCTGTAGCTAAACATCGAGTAAAAGCAGAAAATTAAACTCGTTGGGACCCAAGAGAAAAACAAAAAATGTTTCGAAAGGATGCGTTTCACACAGATGTGAAACGTTAGCATCTATGCTAACGAGCAAAGAAATATTCGGCGACAAAAGCATTCTTACTCATCTGGAATGTCAGTATGCTTTTTGGTATCTTTCACGAATAAAAGTCTGAAAACTGTGGAAGGCATTTTCATGCAACAAATTTAGATTAAGTCCAGAGTCAAATGCAATTGAGAATATGCAACACGTTTTGAAAATTAATGTGAAAAGACAGACACAACTTCACAAAACTGGGAGAGAAATACCAAAAAGAACAAATTACTTACTAAAGATGAATGAGTATTAATTTTACTTTTACATTTTTGTTTTGTAAAACTCTACCTTAGCTTATTTTCACTTCATGATAGCGCACTACTTTTGCTCCCTTTCTCAAATGAAGTTGCTCTAGAATAGATAAGTTTGCTTTAATTAATGTGACAACATATTACAAATATCAAGCACTATGAACACTTTTGAAAGGCATTGAAGTTCTCAATAAGAGCAGCCTTCTTGGCAGTGTCAGTGTGATTCAACCGCGCCACAGCAGTTTTATGTAAGCCTTGCTAATGTCTGTTGTTTAAACTGCAGACATCTTGATCCCATTAACCCTCATGAAGCTGGACATAATTAAAAGGAAAAGACAGTCCTCATTTGAGTGTAGCGTAGAGTAAACATTAGCTCTGGGTGCGTGGGCCACTCACTGATGACGTTCATCCGTCTCAGGTCCAGGCGCACTTTAGAGAAGGTGGTCATGCCTGCGGCGGTGTAATCCCTTCGGCAGTCGCAGTCTTCTCTTCTGGAGCCGTTTTCAGGACACTGAGTAGGGTCGTTGAGCCTGGAGAAGTACAGAGGTAAAACCTCAGCTTCGGCTGACATGTCCATGGAATTTCCTCATTTTAGGAGAAAGCCACCAGAAGTCAGCCGGATTTTCGTAATAAACCCCGACGGCTCTCCTTGTTGTCCTGCCGGAGGTTCACCTGAAGCCAAAGATCTCGGAAAAATTCTCCTCTTCTCCAGTTGTCAAGGTGATGTACTCCTGTGGAGTCTCCGTCTGCATTCCTGCACAATAAACCTGAGGGCAAGAGAGACACAGGAGGAGCAAGAGTCGAGATAAAGGTCAGGGAAGAGAAGGCAAACAGAAGGAAAAGGGCAATGAGGTTTTAGAAGGATAAGGAGATGATGGAAAAGTACAATGGGCAAATTAAGGTCAACTCCAGACGTACAATCGAATAGATGCGTGCGGAGCTTCACTCTTTTCAAAATATTAAGCTTCTCAATGAGTCTGTTTCACAGAAGAAAAACAACAGATTCTTTCTGTACTCAGGTGATTAAAGTGTCTTACCTTGAGAGCTTTTCCTTGAACACTGAGAAAGTGTTCGCTGTCTGGAATGGGGCCGCTTGTGCTCTGGATCTGAAGACAGCTCGAAGGCAAATTGCCTTGGAGACAAGAGGAAGAAAACTAAGTGCTCAACAGAATGCTATTTATTTAAGAACACACATTTTGCTAAGTCATATCTACCAATGAACCCTATCTAACTAAGCTAAACTAAGGGTGAAGAGTCAATACGCGGAACAATAAATCTTTAAAGTTTAAGCTCGGATGCGGACTACTTCACCCAAAGTTTTCTGAAATGAATGATTCACACTGAGCTGCAAATACACTGGAGTTTGCAAGGATTGGATTTGATCTGATCCTATAACTAGAGATGCACTGAGAAATCTACTTTTGACCAGAACTGGTGTTTCTTTTTTTTTTTTTTAACCTGATTCAGCTGTTGTCCAACTCAAAAAACAGATACCCATACCACATCATATTTAACTCAGACATTGATTGGCGCATCTCTCTACCTTTTCACCTATAAGCATAGCGACAGCATTCAGGTCACTTAGCAGCACTCACAGCTTGGATTACTGCAGACTTTTCTCCTGTCTGGCTCTTCGTTTGGAGAACACCTGTTGCTTTCTCGTCCGTCTGCAGACACACACTGCACTGTCCTCTCTGCCACGCCGTCCCCACAGCTTACCGAGCACTGAATAAGAGAGAGGACAACCACAACAACGTAAAAGTCACTTCAATTTGGCGTAATTCATTCTGTTAAGCGTTTGGTTTTCAAGCTAGTAGTGTAGCTTCTTCAACAGTGTGTTAGAAACATTCAATTTTAGGCCTTTTTACAACAAGAAACCCATCAGATATTAACTAAATTAAAATTATTCAGATAAGCTCTGTAGGTTATTTATTGTCTGTTAAAACTTTAGTAATCTTCAAATCTCTCTAGGATAATGGTCATGGTAGCTCAGATAGACCCAAACAGGGCTATTCCTGTTTGTTTATTAGATTCTGGGGAAATTTCAAACAATGTATAAGAATTTTTTTTAATCATTTTTAATTTTACTACAAATTATTCACTCATATCAAATTATTTTATCACAATAGTTTTTGTGTATACTGTGAATGCATCACTCCTGTCTTGAGAAGTAATAGTGGCCTCATGTCGTGTGTTATGTCGTAAAGCTTTAAATGAATCTAGGTTGGTATCGACACATTTTTTAAAAGCACTTTCACTGAGGCCCGCTGCTTCCGTTAATGACATTAACCACGTTTCACTCGTTCTTTTTAATGACAACACAATATTTGGCTGGACAGCCTAGCTCACCGGTCCCCAGACTCCAGCCCTCCACTCCTGTGGAGGTGGACATGTGCCCAGATGACAGGGCATGTAGCTCTCTGGGGGGGTTCCAGGGCAATTGGACAAAGACTGATGGCCGTACTCGTAGTTGTCGTTTTCCACGTGCACCTCGCTGCAGGAGACAAGACGCTGACGGTAGCCCTGACCACAGCTCACCGAGCACTGGAGGAGAGAGAAAACCACTGGCATGAAGGAAGGGAAGTATTTCTCGACAAACTTAAAAGTCGGAGTTGGAAAAACGAGAGCGAATTAGGACAGAGACGCAACATCGGCTCACCTCTGTCCACTCCCCAGTGATCCAGATTAGCTCGCAAGCCTGTGTGTTGCAGCTCTCAATGTCCGGCGGTCTGATCTGGTTCACGCAGTACATTTCATGGACCTCGTGATGGTTGTAATCAACGCACTGCAATGCCCTCCTTCGATGGCCCGATCCGCAGGACTTACTGCACTGTTGAGGAAACGGGACGGAAAAGATGCGGTGTAACATCGGGATTGTTCCACTATTGGTGGGGCAAGAGAAAGTATAGTGGAGGTTAAGAAGGAAGGAGCAAGATGAAATAGTTTGTGGTTGTAGTTTGTGCTTTTATCACAGAAAGAAAACGTCAAAGCAAACGATCAGAGAAGAGGGGAAAACAATGTGCGAACAATCTCTTTTTCAAGAGACCAAAGAGGAAGTGTCCATTAAGAATATTTTTCTGAGTTTTTTCTTATTGTATGGTACATAGAGAACACCACTGCGACTCCCTCACTTGTTGCTGCACACTTCCAGGCAACTGGCCAAAAGAAAAATCCTACACTCTGCCACCCCATTTACACCCAAGACAAATCGGGACTTGTCTGGAAACACCCCAGAGGGTGAAAAAAAACATGATGTGGAAACTAGAGGAATGCCACCCATTACTCTAATTAAGGTAATGCAGCTTTAAAACTACAGTTGGAAAGCATCAGTATTTATTATTTACTGCATTCAAACTTGTGTCTCAATTGCCAAAGCACAAAAAGCAACCTAGAGGGAAAACTATACATTGTTTCAAGGAAGGCAGGATAAAAACACATAACCATCAAAATACGAAAATATGACGATTTATCAAAATACGGAAGCTAGTTGAAAGCCTGGAGTAAAAATGTATCCAGGCTGAAGAGAAACGTCAAATATTGTGACATTTCAGTCTATAACAGCCTTCTGCTTGAAACGTTCCAGCTGCGTCAGAAGTATCGCCATGGCTACATCCTGCTGCAGCTGCTCCTCGTCACTCCCATAATGTTGAACCCTGACAACTGGAAGAGCTGCGTTTAGTTGTGCTGACAGGCACTACGGTGTCAGAGCGTCTAAGTACAACTATCACCAAGACATGCATGAATTATGTCAATTTGTCACAGAGCTTCCATGTAAAGGGACAAAATCAGATTTAAAGAGGAAGGAATAAAACTTATACTGGTCCTTGAAGGCTCGGCTCCCGAATTTCAGGAATTCGGGGATTAATTGGGACCAAAAGGCTGGGACTTGCACACTCCTCTCAGTGCTAATTAAGCTCTGTTTTCAGAAACGCGGTTCATGCTGCTTTGTGATCCAAATCCGACATCAAGTGAACTTGACGAGGAAGAAACTCCGTCTGAACTTTCCTTTCGAAACGACCAAAGCCTTCAGCGGACAGAAAGTGAGTTTAGCTGAGGGAAAAAAGTGTTTTTCAACGCTTCAAACTAATTGCACTTTTAATATCAGGCATTTTATAGGGAACAACTTTCATGAAAGTAGTCAAGAAGAGGAAGAGCTGTGGGAAAACTGAAGCAGTCTGAGGCATAACCAAAATAAGGTTCTGCTTGGAGACCGAAAACCAGCAGGGGTCCCCGAAGAACTTTTGAATTCTCACAGAGTTTTATAACTTCATTTTCTATAGCAAGAGCCTGCTTTTTAAGTAAATTCAGTGGGCTTAAAATAGCAGAATTCAAATGGCTTTCTATCATTTCAAATATAAAATTGATATTTCTTTTTGCAGCTTTCCTTCAACCAGTCTACTGGCAATGTGCAGCAACATGTGGGGGAGGGCCAGTCCTGCACTAACTTATGCTTCAAGTAGTCAGAGAAAACTCTGGTCTTTTTCCTTTTGTGTTGTACTTTAATGCTGGTTCCTATTCACATGTGTTAGTTATGACTGACTGCTATGTGTTTTACTCATTTCTGCTTTTTGTGCTAGCATTTTGCATATTGTAATAGCAAATCGATTTTAACCATTAATTGCCAATTTACCTCAGTCACTTTTTAAGCACACACAAAGTTGGCCCCACCTTCCTGAGTCTACCTAAAGAGAGAAGTCTATAAAAAATAACCTAATCTTCTCCTTTTATACCCCAACTTTTACCCAACACCCACTGGAAATAGGTACAAAGGAAGGAAGGACAAAAGGAAGGAAGGCAGGAATAAAGGAAGGAAGATAGAAAGGATGAACAGATGGTTGGATGAGCCAACTGTGCCATTTTAAGGACAAGTAAATATAACGTATAGAGTATGTCTTGAGAATTAAAGTAGTTTGCACTGTTAAATTTTGAGTTGCCTAATGCAGGTATTTATTTCAGAAGTTTAATGTTGTAAAAAAAAAAAAAGTGAGGTTTAGAAATGTATGTTTCCTGGACCCAAATGTCAGTTATTCGAACATATGTCATTTATGTTATTTAAAAGTAAGCAAATTTATACATTTTTTGTCTGATTATGTCCTTAGTAAAATAAATCTGTACTTTTTGCTTCAACTTGAATAATGGTATTTTGAAGCAATGTCGCCATTCATTCACCTGCATTTCAGTAAAATCAATTTTTTAATACTGACCCCACCCGCAGCCCGTATCACTCCAACTTCCAACCTCTTCCAACTAGCTTTTTGGCTGTGACATATTTCTAAACTTTGGAAAGATTAAATGTTTTTCCGTCAATGTATTCTAGTGTTCCGTCTCTTTTTTTTTTTTCTTTTTTTTTTGAGAGGAAGAAAAAAACAAAACAAAACCCAGTTACACTAGGGGCTTCGCTGCCTCTGCCCTCCCCTCTCGTCTTTCTCTCTCTGGCCTTCTGACAACACAGTGGAGCCTCCGACGGGAGCAGCGACTCAACTTCAGTACCTTCATCCAGTGCCAGGTAAGGCAGCGCGGCCACGCTGCACGTTTTGACTTACAGACTGGAATGTTTAAAACCTGCAGGCATTCGCTCCGACTTACCGCCTGCCAGTCCCCTTCTCTCCAGCGGTAGCGAGCGGGACAGTCTGCGACGCGGCAGCTCTGGCTGGACGGCGGACGGGAGCGCTGGGCACAGCCGGTCTCCGCGGGGTTACGGCGGTCTCCGACCTGGCAGAAAACCTCCCTCCGCTGAACTCCGTCACCGCATGAGGCTGAACACTGAAAGCAGGAGAGGTAAAACCTAAGCCACTAGAAGTATTTCATTAACTGTAGGAACAATAGGGTTCAATTTAACTCGGTAGCCACGACGACAAGCAAATCCTCTTTGAGTTTTTTTTTTAAGCTAGCTCTGGTTTATTTTAAATATTAATGTTGAGTGCGTAACTCTTTTCCAAATATCTTTGTTTTTGCATTTTGAAAAAGAAAATGGTAATCTTATGAGATGAACCCTTTACACCAGTATTTAAATGCAACTTTATTACACTTTTGACAGGTTTTGCTTTTTAGCCATAGAATTGTGTATCTTGTAATTCAAAGTTGTATGGGTTCTTTGAATTTTTTTTATTAACTTAGTCATATTGTGCCATTTCTGTGAAAAGACTGAATTTTTACTCTGTCTAGTGTGTCTAGTGTTGTGAGCTTACAATAGATATAATTTACATAAATTCTAACAGATAAATAATGGTGTCATCTGTATTTAAACATGTTCTTTTTTCCAGTTATAAAGCTCGTTTTTGGAGCGTAACACACATTTCTCTTTGCACCATTTTCCACAGATATTAATACTAAATGGAGTGAATTTATATAGCACCTTTCTTGTCATACTGACCAGACCACTTAAAGCACTTTACACTAGAGCCCCCGTCACATTCATGTGTACGCCTTCATACACCAACATGCAGATGTTGGGCAACAATCATTACATGTACAATACATGTAGTGTATCACAAGTTATATTAAAGGGGAGGTGCTAGATATTTTCCAGGCACAAAATGCCATTCTATAGCAAAATAAAGTAACTTTTTATGACAACCTTTAGTTGTCATACAAATGCTGTATATATCAAACAAGACTTAAAGGAAATTTGACTTGAAATTTGCCTCTTGCCCTAAGAAGCTCCTGCTCTTTCCAACACTCCACCTTTAGGCCATCACAACAACGCTCCTTCGTTATGCCATTTACAATCATTGGACTGAGAAGTAGTTAGCATGACGCAGTTCCACCAGGCGTTTGGTAATTGCTGCTGCTGAGTGAGAGAGGCCTGCGGGAGGAGTGGTACTTTTTGAGGCGAAAGCTCGGCTGGAGACTGCAGCGGCAAGGAGGAGCTTGTGGAAATAGGCAGGGATTGGTGAGAGCAAGTGTTTAGGCACCCCTGAATGGCTGCCGTAAGATATTCAAGGTTTTCTAAAACATGCAGGAAAGAATCAAAAGCAGCACTTCTTTGTAGCATGATGTAAAGCACAAAAAGTCAATTTTACATAATACCCCACTTTAAAATTTCAAACATTAATTTATTTTATTTCAATTCTTTTTACAAAATACCTGAAAGGTTTGATGTGCCTTTCTCTTCACTCCCCCTTATTCAGTGTGTAGAACCAGTTTTTGCTGGACTTACCTGTGTCTGTAAACATCAACATTCAGGTATTTCCACGGATTCTTAGTTGGATTTTGTGGAATTCTGATACTGGAAAATGCTTTGAACTAAACTATTCCAATTGTGGTTCTGGTTGTGTGTTCAGGGTCGTCGCTCTACTGGGGGACAAACCTTTGCAGTAGCTACTTTAAAGTCTTTTGAAACTTCCAACAGGCTTTCGTTCAAGATTTTAAAGATACGTAGCTCCATCTATCTTCATATCAACTCTAATTAGTTTCACAGATTCCTACTGGTTCTAGATGAAGCTCTGTGAAATGTTCAAAACTTGGGATATTGTTTTGAAACCTTAAATTGCTTAAAGCCTCCTTACAACTTCCCCCCCATTCCCTTTGACCTGCCTGCTGTGTTCCCTCAGACTCCATGATGCTCTTCTCTAATCTTCCCTAACAAACCTCCGGGGCCTTGTCTCAGAGATTTGGATTAAATTACACACAGATGGGCAAAATTTCAACATAAGATGAACGGTTTACTTGTTACAATGTTTTATTTTTTTTTTTTTTTTTTTTAATTTAGGGTTAAAGAGTGAAGGGGTTGAATGTTTTGCAAAAAATAAATAAAAGGAAGTACAATTTTCCTTCCTTTTCAAAATGACGTGCTTTACTTTGTGTTGGTCTGTCACATGTAATCCCAGTAAAATCTCTTGAACTTTGTGGTTAGGACATGTCAAAAGATAGAAAAGGTTGGCGCAAATAGTTTTTGCAAGACACGGCACTCTCCTTCCAGCGCTTTGATTGCTCCCATTTACTCCGGGGCATGCGTGCTGCTCCACAGCTGTTTTGAGGAGAAGCACATCCTCTCTTGACGTGTGCACAACACTTGTGTGTCACCGCCTTGAGCGATGGAGTGAATTCAGAGGGAGATGGGGAGGAAGGAGGAAAATGGGCGGGAAAAAAAGAAGAAAAAAAAAGAGAGAGAGAGATGGAACAAGCACAATGCAGACGCCCAGGTGCAATCTGTTAGTTTGTCTGGGAACGTGACGCGAGAGAACGGCCTCTTGTAGAAACGCTGAAGTAAAAACACGACATGTGGTTTCCATTGCGGAGGCACAGGCTTACAGTGAGGCAGAGGATAAAAGGGACAGAGAGGAAAGGAAGGTGAGGGGCAGAGGAAGAGAAAATACAGAGAAGGGTAGATTTACTTTGGCTGGACTCGAGATCAAAGAGCCTGCACTTCCCTCCAGCTGTTCAACTGTCTGCGCTAAACTGTCACAGCCTTGGTCTTCAACCCCTCCGTTTGCCTCTGCCCTCGGCCCACCACGCTGTGATCTGCCAAGGCACCCCGTCCTAGTTAGTGGTTGTGTTTAAACGCTGTCAGGTTGCCCTGCACATGTTTCACAGACATGCAGACGGAGTTGCAAAGAACCTGGTAAGCATTAAAAGTGTAAAAGAGCAGAGGGGAATGAGGAGGGGCTGACGTGTCTGGCAGCGTGAGAACCAGAGACGGGCTCCGTACCTCTCCCCAGGCGCCGGTCTTCCACTTGGGGCACCTTCCGCCTCGGCATCGCCTCTGCCTGCTGGGTTTGGGGGACGAGTGGCGACAGTTTTCATCCGGGACGGAGCGGCCGGACCCGGTCACGCAGCTGACCTTTCGGGATTTCACACCTCTTCCGCAGGAGGCCGAGCACTGCAGCAGGTGGAGGAAGAGAGCAATGGAAATCAGAAGTTATTCTTTGTGCTTTACCCAATAATAAACACCAAACTAATGGAGATCTCAGTACCAACAGAATAAATAGGGTAACTTTTATATATATATATATATATATATATATATATAAATTAAGGGGGGAAAAAAACAAAAAGGAAAGTCCAGTGCCGACACATGCCCGGTTCACCCGGTAGCAGTTTTTTCACGTCCGGGTTCACCGAGTTATTGAAGGACTTAACTCTGTGTGACAGGCAGGCACACACACACACACAGTAGGGTTACAGGAGCAGGGATCAACTGTGCTCGGAAAATCTGAAAGGGGGCGTTTCACATCGTGGATGGATAAAAAGCGACAGGCTCAGGGTTGAACGGGTGCACAGCTCAGTGTGCAGCTCTGTCCAGACTGGACCGTAATGGACGGGGAACTCGCCACAACCTCTCACCTCGTTCAAGAAGGAGGAGGAAAGGTAGGACGATTTTGGGGGGGAAGCAACAACATTAAACTCGTAGCTTTTTTTGTCCTCTGAAGATAAAAAAAAAAGTACTTGTATTGTGCTATGTTTGTTCAAATTCAGTGCAACTTTATTGGTAGACTGTTGGATCATTCGACTGATAAAATGATCAGTTATTTTTTTCATTGAATAAAGACAACATGTGCAATAAGTAGATTGTTTTAAAGGTGCCCTTCAACTTTAATAAAAATGTTTTTGACTGTGTGGCTTGCGTCTTTTTTTTTATGCGTGACAACTTTTAGTAAACGGCAGTGCAGAAGGTTCCAGTTTTAGACTTGGCAGCAGACATTTCTTTTCAATCAATGTCAAGACGTGAAATTTATCCATTCAGTCAGAATTTAACAAAGAAAAAGAAGAGGGACTAGGGGTTTAGAGAGAATTTAGCTCATCAAGTTATTTACAGCCCACTTCAAACCACCGAGGCTGGGCTCTGTTCAGATGTGATGTCACTCCTTTCACTTTTTTTTTTTTGTTTTTGTCTTTTTTTGCAATTGTGCAAATTGAACCAGTTCATTAGGCTTCTATTCTCCAGCTGGGTAACAACCTGCTACATTTCTTGTTTTTCATATTTCTATTCAGAAAACTTGTATGAAATGTGATCCGGTAACAATTGTTCTAAATTTCTTGCTAAATTATCAGACTTCTGCATATGATGAAAGAACAATGACCTAAGAAGGGGACCGAAGTCAGTCAGCGGTGACCTTTGACACTGCCCTTGTTCCAGTGACTTTCACAGGCTTGCACTGAGGTCCGAGTCACCAGCACACAGCAGACCAGAATAATGAGGCCTAGCGAGTTCAAAGCCACGCTTCCGCCACAATGCATCATAGAAAAAGCGTTGGTGCGGCACTTTGAGTGACTGAGCGCAGTAAATGAGTTTGGAAGTGTGACGAAGCAGAGCAGAGATTCATCTGGATGAAAGTGGTTTTCAACACCTGATGTAGATGTTAATGTGAAGAAGAAAAAAAAAACGAGAGCGTCAAGATTAAAAAAAAAAACAGTTCAGCCATTTATGAATTTTCCCTTTCACTGCTTTGCAGAATTTTGGCTTCTATTCTTTTAGTTTAGTTTTGATCTGGGGAAGTTTTGTTTCATGGCAACAAAGGAAAGTTTGAGGTAAGTCATCATAATTTCATTATAGACTTACAGCTTAAAGGAAATAATTCAGGACTTTTGAGGTGAGGTTCTGTTAAAAAGTTGTAGGCAGTTAATAAATTATTTGCTCTAGTCAACTGCAGTATAAATCCAGATTAACTGAAGCTGGAGGGTGAAGCAAATGGCTAATCCAAGAAGGGTTTAAGTGAACTTTAAACATAAAAGTGGTTTATCTAAATATTATTTGACTTAATCCATCAAAAAGTTTGCATTGGGCACTTTAGTTACCCAGTAGTCAGTTACTAGTTTTATAGGAAAAGTAGATAAAGGGGATGATTTTCTGGGGTGAGACATACTGGGAATTGCTCATTTATAGTCTTTACAGGTGCTAAAAGAAAAAGCAGTTTAAATTAATGTTGGTTTATCGATTTCAACACTATCAGTTTTCTATTAAATTACTGTAACTGGTAATTCTGTGTTGCTTCACACAGGAAGACCATTGGTGATGGGCTGTTTAATAATTGTGTAATTGTTTGCGCAATGCAAAAGTGATGGCAGGTTAAATATCATCAAACTGTTATTGCATAAACTGTTGACATTTTGGAGATTGGATTTATTTTAAGAGAGTAGAAGTACACTTTATTCTTGGCTCATCTCGGATTATCCACTAGCTTCAGCTTTCTGCACCAACTAACTTGGATTTACACTACATGACGACGCCAAGAACGTAATTTACCACAAGCAGGGCATTTACTGCTTGTTGCCTTTTACCAAAACCTCGGTAACGATCCCACGTTTCCAATTCAATTGTCTTTCAAGTTACCGTTGCTCACTGTCCATGACAAGAGATTTATTGTTTATTCAAATAAGAATGAAATAAAACGCCTTGAATAGTACCTCTACTTCACTTTAATCATGACCTTTTCTGGAAATGCACAGAAATCCAACAAAAACCATAAAAAAATTAAATACTGACAGCATGATAATAAAGGAACAATAAATACAAGTAATTACATAAATATACAGAAAATAAATTTGCAACAGACTAATACTGCCATTTGCGAATAAGAGACATTAAATATACTTATTTTAAGAGCCTGTTAATTTTGGGTTTTAGTAGTGCCATTTGCACCAAGTACCGGACTACAAACCAAACTGCACAGACGGAAAAATGTAATGGGGAACATTAAAAATCCACTGCGATGTCTGCCTAGATGTTGACTTTTTGCCTCTTAGCAATCACACATGGGAGTCATTGAAACAAATAGTTCTCATTAGCAAATGATTGTTAAAAAAACTACTCGCAGCTGTGTTAACAGGCCCTTAAAATAAAGTGGGATGTCAGTACAGACATTTATGGCCATGAGCCAACCAGGTGGGCTGCAAGCAAAGTTTGTCCCTAACCACAGATTCTGGACCATCGCCATTCCCCTCCAAAACAGAAAGTTAGCAAAATCAAAGTGAAATATGAGTAAAAAAAATTTTTTTTAGATCTGTGTTTAGGGCCATCACCTGCATTGGATAGCCCCAACAATGAATCCTTAATCTTAGCGAGCCACGTTTGCTCCGGTGCCAGGGATGACAAAGATGGTGCACAGAGAGCAATCATAACCAAGACTGAGGTAGACACATTAGATCGGCTCACATTAGGAGCTCTGGATACAAAACACCAACAGCCACCCCTGTGGTCACAGGAATTGCATGTTTTGAAGCATGACATTTAGCAATCCGTTCCAAATGGTTTACCCGTATACCGTATTTGACTGACAATTAATGGCAACATGGCAATGTTCAATCAAAACTGAGAAACAATTCAAACTGACTACTCTTTGCATTTAGCTGTCAGTGGATAAACCGCACCTGGAAAGAAACAAAATTACAGAAAAGGCAGCATCAAACAGCAACGCACCACAAAAAGAACCAAACAAAGCAAAAAAAAAAAAAAAAAAGAAAGTGATGATTTCCATAACTTATCCCTTATTTGGCAAAAAGCACCAAGGAAGAATACGCTGTCGTTGTCTGATGGCTAGTTGAGTCGTGTCGCGTTTCAAGTGAGGTATTATGAGGTGTAAAACAGGATAGTACATTTTGAACTTCCTGCTATTTACTGTGCAACACAAACATCAACTAAAATATATAAAACACTTACATCAGCCAATATTAGGGGAAATATCTTTCAAAAAAATAAAAAATTGGCCACACTAGAAAAAACTGGAATACAAAGGTTCTAATGATTTCTAGTAATCTAGTAATGAGACACATTATTTTACAGTCCTTGCACTGAAGCTGTTGTTTGTTGTAAAGCACTGATGCGGAATATTTTAGGCACTTCAGAGTCGACGAGAACTTAGACAAATTTTTTTCAAGTTTAGTTGTGTGAAGCAGTTTGAACAGTATGTTACTGAAGTGGACAGTAGACTCAAGAATCCTAGTGTAGAGGATAAGAGTGAAATTCTCATGGGAGAATCAAGCTAAGCTACACCAAGGTTTTGAGAACACATCGGTAGCGTCAGTGGGTTGTTTCCATCAAACAACCCACTTTAGCTAAAACTAGCTAGCAGTGGGTGCTTCCAGGCGTGGAACGCACTAGTTCCTTTCTAACCCATCCTAGTCAGGCGTATCAATTCTACAAAAAAAAAAAAAAAACAGCTGGAGTCTAGTCATCTGTTGAGTCTAGGCATATGTCAACACAATGGATCTCAGTCTTATTAAGACAGTTAAGGCAAGTTCAATTGCTAGTCGTGGCAATTTGTGTGAAAATTTTACTCGTACTTAAAATAAACACTAGATTACCTCTATTTACACTTAGTCTTGCAACAAAATTCAGTGTACATTGTGGGTTTTTTTTTTTGTCCCCCCCCATCTAACAACCATAATGTTATTCTGCTAACTGCATGTTGAAATGGAAGAATATATGGTTACAAATCTTTTGAAGCAGCTTCCTGTATCGAATCCAAAAATAACTATGTACAGTTCAAATTAGAGATTACAAAAAGGGAGCTGAAGGTATGTGTAGCCCATCTCTCAGATTTTAAGAAATTCAAATTAAGCTAGCTGCTCAGCTTAGGGAGGCCCATTGCTATACTGCCACCATTTTTTTATAAACCATCAATCATATGTTTATATTAATGGCTAGCCAACAAGAACAATGGTTAAGAAAACAATGCCAATGGGAATGTCCCAATCTGATCTAAAATATCAGATCAACGTCCAGATCAAGTCGTTTTGAATGATGTGTATTAAAGAATCAAACTAGATTCAGTTTTCCATCTCTGTTATTGGCCGACGAACAGAAAATAAGAGCACTTTGTGTTTAACTTGTCTTATACGATGAAAATTTGCTCTTGAATGTTTGGTTCTCTTGAGTATTTGTTAAGCTTATTGTCCCATGAGAACTCCCTCCATGGTCCTCTAAACTGTGTTGGCCTCAGACTGTTCTCTGCTGCAGATGCAGGTGTTGAGAATCATTACATGCAGATCCATTTATAATAACCAACTCAGCAGAAGATACGTACATAAACTGTAAAATAAAGTGCCTTGTTATGATTAGTAACTTTGCTAAAAACCCTCATGTGCCTCAAGACGAACTGAATTTTTAAAAACCAACAGCCATTTAAAATAAGGTTTATGAAACAAATAGTACACAAAGAGTTTAACCCACCTGATATCCTATGTTTGCTCCTGCTGACAACACTCACTAAATAACTCTTACTCTTACAGCTGTGTATCGTAACGCCTCATGCTTGAGGATTATGAACCATTCTTTGGATAATAAATAATAGGCATCTGTGGTATTTTCCTGATATACAAAATTGGTCATCGGCATTTGCTTATGAACAGTGACTGGCTGAAATGGATACAAAAGAGTCCTTCAATTATTGAAGTTAATAGTATTTACATAAGTTAAAAAGAAATAAAAATAAATTATCTTTAAACCAATATTTTTACCGCACCATCTTTGTGAAACAAATTGATCCTGAATGTTTTTAACTAAACACTCAGAGTTTTTAGTAATGTAGAAAATGCTTTCTTGTTCATATGGTCGCAGCTGTCTCCGAAGCATGTCGTTTCAGGGCTTTTTTTTTTTTTTTGGCACGTTGCATGTGACGTTTTAAATGTTTTGGAAGAAATGCTAAGCAATCGACAGAGAGGAATCCAGAAATGGAGTCATAAAAACAAAACAAAAAAACACCTAATATCTCTGTGCAGCAGCACCACAGTCATTCTGCCTCTTTAGGACTATTGTTTGAGAAAAAAAAAAAAAAAATCATGGATATTTTAAAAGATGTGAGTACTTTTTTTTTTTTTTTTTTTTTTTTTTTTTGGGGTTACCGGGCCCCATGGGTCTGTGTCCCGGGGGGGGC